ACTATTGGGGAGTGTCAAGTGTGTACGAACGGACAATGGGGTTAGAATTCTCCAGCGATGTACTCACTAATTTTATTCTTCACAAGGGGATAAAAGCTGAACGAGCTCTCCCGTACCACCACTACCAGAATGGCATCATCGAACGTTTCAATCGGACTCTGGCGGACATGGGCCGGACGATCCTCATAGACAGTGGAATGGGCAAACCTTTTTGGGGGTTTGCATTCATATGGGCCTGTGACATACTGAATGTGATTCCCAACAAGAGAAGTGGCATGCTAACTCCTTTTGAGGCTTTTTACGGTTTTAAACCTTCACTTGACAGGTCCAGAATTTTTGGCGAAACAGGTTTTATTCATGTTCCTGAAGAACAAAGGAAGAAACTTGATGATCGAGGCCTAGAAGGCAGAGTAGTGGCTCACTGCGACGACAGCAAAGGCTGGATATTTCTGCTTAAAGAGACTAACCAACTAGTTGCGGCAGCCGTTGTGGATTGGGCGGACAAAAGACCATCAATTCCCAAACCACCAACAGCAACACCGAAACTGAAGACAGTGTCAAAAGCCAACAAACCATCAGGTGTGAACACAACGCCGGAGAATCCTCCACCGACCAAAGCACCAGACATTGTGGCAAGCTCCCACCGTCACGATGTTTCATACATTGTCAACCAGATGGAACTGGGAAATTTCAGAGATGAACTAACTTTTGAAAGCCAAGAACTAATTATTGACAAGATACTCTTGGAGTGTGCCTTTTTTGCAGCAACAGTTCCGAAAACGTACAAGCAGGCTCAGAAGTCCGTAGCCTGGGTGAACTGGCAATCGGCAATAAATGAAGAACTCCAGAATCTCAACAACATGAAGGTCTGGTCAATCAGAACGGTCCCCGCGGGAAGGAAGCCCCTAAAGGGCAGATGGGTTTTTGCAGAAAAGACGAATGAGGCCGGTGAAGTGATTCGTTTCAAAGCACGCTACGTTGCGAAAGGTTTCACACAAGTGATTGGACTGGACTACGAATCAACCTTTGCTCCAACGGCTACTTTTGTCCCCATGAGGTTAATACTGACGATGGCAGCAAAGTTCAACTGGCCTGTTTATTCTTTTGATTTTGTAGCAGCTTACCTCAATGCACCCATTGACGAAGAAGTGTGGGTCGAAGCCCCAGAGGGTCTGAATGTCAAACCAGGCGAAGCAATGCTCCTCCAAAAAGCTCTCTACGGGACCAAACAGGCGGCGCGGTGCTGGTGGCTTCACCTCAAGAATGTATTGGAGAAATTAGGTTTTACGGCAAGTCAGTATGATAACAGTCTGTATACAATCAAGCACGAAGAACACAAGGGAGTAGTATGGGTCCACGTCGACGATGGTATAGTCACAGGCTCATCGACTGTGATGCTCAAATCACTGGAAGACGGACTCAAGGGTATGCTGAAAATCAAGTGGACGGATGGACTGGACTCGATAGTCGGACTCGAGGTGAAAAGATCAGCAAAAGGTTTTAGTATCCGTCAACCCAAACTAATCAATCAGATCCTTGACACACATTGGGACGGCTGCACCACCCATAAAACCCCACTTCCCCCTTCGCTTGAGCTAATCACTGACCCAAATGGTGACGAATCTAAGTCTACTCAATTTCTGTCAATCATAGGTTCACTAAGCTATCTTGCAGTAGGAACACGCCCGGATATAGCTTTCGCAGTCAACCTCTTAGCACGGTTCTCAGCACAACCAGGGACAAATCACTGGAAAGGAGTGCGACACTTAATTGGTTATCTGGCAGAATCACGGGACCTGTACCTCAACCTATTTCCAAATGATCTCCCGAAACCTCTGAAATGTTTTTGTGACGCTTCGTGGGGGGGAGAATTTGCAAAATCTACGTATGGTATTGTAGTGACATTTTTTGGTTGTCTGGTACTCTGGACGTCTCGGCGTTTTGCGACAATAGCTGCGTCGACCTGCCAGGCGGAATACATGGCGCTTGGAATTGGAACCAGACAAGTCCTTTGGGTGAGGCATTTACTCACAGATATTCTCAAAAAAAGTTTTACAGGTTTACTTCATTGCGATAATCAAGCCGCAATACGAGTCAGTACGGACGACTCAGCAAATAAGAGAGTCCGACACGTAGAAAGAGAGTACTACCTGACGAACCAGGCACTCCATGAAAAGAAAACGGAACTGACGTGGGTCCCAACGAAGGAACAACTGGCTGACATCTTTACCAAAGCTCTGTCCAGAGAGCCTTTTGAGTCCTTCAGGGGGAGAATCATGAGTAGTGTCTAGGTGAGGGGGGAGTGTTGTAACCCGGGGAGGGGTTACCAGTGGTCTCACCTAGACCCCTTCTTCATAGCATGTATATAGTCTTTAGTAGCCTACATACATGCAATGTCCATCATCTTTTTCTCGTTCCTCATCAGCCTACAGGCCAGAGGTGGTCAGCTGACAGCAGGCTCCAATCTGCTCCCTCCCCCCTCAAAGAAAACCGTCAAAACCGACCAACCGACAGTGTCAATGGATCGATAATTGACACAACGGCGCAGTTTGAATACAACTTACCTTGATGGAACAAATAACCCGCTGCCAAGTCATACCGGAATTTACCGGCCCTTGTTGGTCCAAAGACTGGTCAGTTTCTTATAATCTTAACTATCTTTGGACCCAATGGTGTTTCTAATCCATTTTTTGTTTTCCCCTCCGTATGATGGCACAGGTCACTTAATAAGAAAATATAAGAATTGGTTCAGTACTCAAAACATAACCAAACCTGCTTGATACTGTCTGTAAAGATGGATGCCTAGATATGTTGTCCCTGAGGCTGAAGTCAAACCGGATCAAGATTCGTTTTATGAGTTGCCTTTGCGATTCATCACCCATCAAATGTAATCAAGTTTTTCTTTTAGCCTACTTAATACTGCAGATCAAGTTACCGATCAGACCAAGTTAGATATCCTTGAAGTCAAAAAGCTTGCTCATTACCTGCCGATACAGCAAACAAACACTGTGCAAAAAGTGGTAAATTTTTGTCTTTTGTAATCAATCAATTGCAAAAGGAATTGCTTGGAAAATGGCAAGATTCAAGCCTTACAACCTAAACGCTAAAGAAGTATCACCTAATGGGGGCGTCCGAATCCACTCATGAGCATTTTCTCTCTCTCATTTCCCTGTGCTGAAAGCTTCAATCATCATTAAATTCTCACTTACATGTGGCTATGTTCATCTTTGTATGCAGCCAGTTTCTCACTTCTTGTAATCCTGACTATTGTCCCGTTACTCTTGCTCTCATATACCACAAGACCTACCACTTCATTTTTGCTACCATGTTGTTAATTCTGATTAGAAATTCCAGCAGTGAGCTTTCGGATTCTTGTTGTTCATTACTAGATCATGGAGAGAGGAACGGATAGGAAATTTTCCTAGTTACAAGCGTTTATTTTGATTCATTCAAGCATAAAATCTATTCAAGTCACAACAACCAAGAAATGAGTGAGATGCAAGTGAATATCATGATTGAATCAAACACTAACACCGGCTTTTTTACCTGTGTTTGTGTAAGAAGTGGTGACTCAAACGACACAAATGAGGTACGAGGTTCAACATCAAGCCTGGATTTATTTATCATTGATAAGTGAGTCCAATGGATCGTGGGTTATCCTAGGATGTCAATCGGAACCAGCAGGAGTTGCATGGTTGGTTGATTAAGATCCGATACAGTGAGTTTTGAAACTTTTCCACTCCAGGTCGCCGTTCTTAGCTGTCAGCAATGAGCTTGTAACAAGGAGTGACCGACTTGAGATTGGCATGGCCCGTAGTTGCGGCTTGGCTCCTGCAAATCCGAGTTCAACTGGACCTTCATAATAGACTTGTTCTTGTAAAGATCGATCTGTCAACAAAACAACAGCAGAGAAATCAAAATACTAAGAAACTGACACATGGCCAAAAACGAGAGTCCTCAAAGATGCCTTTGGACGGTTGTGGGCCGGTTTGTCAACGTATCCAAGTTTTGGTGGGGGTTGTGAGCATACATGTTTGGGGATCGGAATCAGTAGGTGGTGGTTGTGGTCATGACGGGCTGTGATGCTTGCGTCTGCGATCACAGGAAGACCAGAGCTGTGTGGCAAAAATCAGCAGCTTAAACTGCTGCACAGCACCGTAACACCATAACTATAGTGCTTGGAAAACTTTGGTTTGTCCAAGCATTATTCAAAAGACAATATGTAACAATTCCCCAATAGTTGCCCGGGGCGATTGTCCTGCTGCCAAATTGAAGGACACTTCCTATATCACCAGGGAGCTTCCCCCTTGAAACAGATTTTTCTGCGTTGAGGGCTTGGTCTTTTTGGGATTTCCCAACATTTTCAGACGCCAGTATGGTTGAATGATTGCATCAATGTGGAGTATAAATCTCACCCGGTTATATGCTACGAACGGGCCGTCAGTGGAGCACAAGGTCATAAATAACCCATGCTCCCTCCGATGAGAGCACTGCAGCGGTCGATTGGGAGCGTGGCGGTGGCAGGAGACAACAGCAGCAAGGCAAGCCGAGCGGAAACCTGAGAAGGGGCTCGCGCGCGCGGTGCGCTTATCCGACGTTACAGGACTCACTGTCACGATTGCGGGCTGCGGCTGTGAAAAATACCACTCGCACCCGCGCTTTACCCTAACCTGGTGATATCCGCGTGCTACGCTCCGACCTCATATCAGCCTTCCTGCCGGCCCGGTAGGGTGCCGGAACCATCGTAAGTAACATCGCCTTCCGCCGCCTCCCGAGCAGGTCCAACCAGGTATATATGTCCTTCTCACTCAGCCCTCAATATGCCCTTCTCGACCGCGGATGACAGTAGCTTACGCTTTCCAGAGGGTGATCTAAAATTGCTTTAGATCAACTGTCTCCTGTCTATTACTCGTCGTCGCATCGCCTAACATGTCGGCCCAGACAAAAATCTTGCGAACAGCTAACGTGCGTTATTTGACACTAGTTAGCTTCTACCATATCACCCTTCTTGATTTCGTTCGCTGATTTGCTTTCCCTTCGAACTTAGGCTCCCCGCACCACCCCCGATGAGACCGAGCTCATGGTAGCCCAGGCTATCCTCGACTTGGAGACCAACGTACCTGATTTGAACGCTGAACTCCGTCCTCTCCAGATCAGTGCCGCTCGTGAGGTTGAGGTCAAGGGTGGTCGCAAGGCCATTGTCATCTTCGTACCCGTCCCCCAGGTCAAAGCTTTCCACAAAGTTCAAGGCCGGTAAGTCAATGTTCACCTCAAGCTATTCAACAATTGGATCAAAGGCTTACCTTTTTCTTGCTTTAGATTGACCCGTGAACTCGAGAAGAAGTTCTCCGACCGTCATGTAGTCTTCATTGGTCAACGACGAATGATGCGCAAGCCTACCCGTGGTACCAGACAGAAGCAACAGCGACCACGATCCCGTACTTTGAAAGAAGTTCACGAGAAGATTCTCGAAGACTTGGTCTACCCTACCGAGATCACTGGCAAGCGAATCCGTTTCCACACCGATGGCTCCAAGGTCATGAAAGTGTCAGTTTCTGTTTTCTGTTGAGTTCCCTTCTCACTCAAGTAGACTGATACATGTTTTCTTCTGCAGTTTCCTTGACTCCAAGGATGCCACCTCGTTGGAATACAAGTTGGACTCTTTCTCCTCCGTCTACCACCGACTCACTGGCAAGACTGTTCACTTTGAATTCCCCACTGTTCAGGAAATTTAAACGCTCTCAAAAATTTCTGTTTGGGTTCTGCACTAGTTCTTTGTCAGCATTCCCGCAGGCTCTCATGAATAGGTGTCAGGACACAAGTAAAAATCATCCATGATCACGCAAACTGTGCCCAAAGGGAGATGAATACGCTCCCTCGCCAATGTATAGGGTAGAGCTCAGGACATCAGAATTCCGAGGGCAGAATTGTGAACAATGAGATGACAATGTCCGATTCCGATCGGGGATGACTAACATCGCCTGGGTTTCGTCTCCCACCCACCGTGCCACATTCCACAACGCTTGTTTGTATACAGTACAATGAGCCTTGCAAACCTTTCTTCATGTTCGGCAAGAGAGATGTGTGTTTGCAAAGTGCGTCTTATGGTCCATGCACCTCCCGTCCGGCCATAGCAACAGATGGCAACCCCCCAAACATCCCCCGTTTGGGAACCTAACATTGTATTAGTTCCATCCTTTTCACCTTTTCAGTCGAGCCAGTGGAACATTCTCCCAGCAATGTTTGTTCCCAATGAAACTCGTGTTGTGTGTCGAGCCTAACATAAGCCTCTCGAGTGAGAGCCCCGGAGGGTGTCTCACCACTGTGCATGCCAACGCCGCTAACAGCGGGGAATCGGGACTTGCGTTAAGTTCGGTTGTGTGTGGTGATTCAGACTACATAGCAGCCATTTCTTTTTCTTCTCACTGTGCTTTGGTTGCCAGCCAATCTTATGCAAACAAATATTGATGCAAGTCATATCTTCCTAGAGACAAGTGGGGACTTTGCATGATCGCCATTCGCTATCATCCCTTATCTTTCTTTCCCTCACTTCGGACTTTGGAAACGCGGTGATCTAGAGTGATTCCTGCGAACTCCATTCATGGGCCTAGGGTCTGGAGTCTCTGAGCCCTGGTGATATGCACTTAAGCAGAGAGCGGTCGGTGTCCGAAATAGTGATAAGGGTTCTCGAGCCTTCCTTCAAACGGCTTGAAATGCCTCCCACAAAAAATGATATGTAGAATTTAAATAGTATGTCGATTTACGGAAATAGAAATCACCATTTACGTGTTTTATCTTTGGTCCGCTTTGGTCCTGCCACCACATCATGAGACATGGCCATGAGGGTCTGGACTCTGGATGTGCCTTGATACTCCAGTGGCAGGACCAACATAAGAAGCACCCTGCCGCCTGAGGTTCCCTCTTTCCCCCAGAACATCTCAACTCACACCTGATATTGAACCGAGAAGTTCTATCCCAAAAATCAACGATACTTGATCGACTGCTTCCCAAAACAAAACAAAAAATGCCTTCTCAATCCAACGGCGGGTCCTCCGGCAACTCTGGCTCTGGCTACACTTACAAATCCAGTGGCACCAACTCCCAAGGCAATCACTACTGCGCCCGTGACTACGGCTCCAGCGCCCCGAACCAAAACGCGTACC